TCACACCATAGAATGTATAATGGGATGGGAAACTCTATGTTCTCTGACGACAACCGACGGATGAAAGCCGTCACTGACTGGAATTTTTCGCGATGTCAAACACATCATAAGAAGACCACAGAGATGATAGTCTGATTTTTTCACGAAAAGTCCAGGAGGAAGGTAGTGAAGCTCAACAAAATACTACATCGAAGAGAATTTACTCAATCACTCTTGCTTGTGGTAGGGAGAGATGGAAGTCTTACGTGTGGTGTCACTCGACGATACCAAAATGACAGGTATTACACGCGAATCCTAATCTCATTTGGTCGATCAAGTATTTTTCATCTGAAGTCCCTGATATAAGTAAAAGGAACGATTTTGTATACAACCTTTGCGTATTCTAAAGACTAATAGTCGCAGTGGCTTTCAGTGATTTGGTTGGATTTTGAGGTGAGACTTTGAATGGTTTCGTTTGCTCGCTCGTCTGGATGCGCAAGCGTTTTTGTTGTCAATGTACACTCTCCTTGTGCGAACGCGTTGACTAACGAACAATTTATTTCAATAAACGAAGAATCTGTAACACGTAGCAACTACAAAAATAATATTCAGTTAATGTTGGTGATGTAGAGTGATGTGCAAAACTTTCGCTTCAGTTGGGACTCGAACTCTCAATTCACCTATCTGGGGTGCATGCTGAATTGATGCACTACCGACGCCCAACTTTACACCACTCTTATTGCGCTACAACGCATCTATAATCATTTGGTAATAATATCTTATTATTATATACATTAACGACAATATATAATGGGCGATGGTGATAGAATCGGTGATCAAAGGGGATCAAGGTTAGAGGGGACGATTACCGTGACAGTTCTTGACAGGGTGATGACTGATATGATGAGATTACATGTTACTCGCTGCACGATCTTAGTCGGCAGAGCTGTGAATGATGCTATATACCCGCTCTCAATTACTTCTGATCGGATTGGTAAGCATCGAATCTGAAGATAAAACACTAAGAAAATATGGTAACGTGTTTGAGCGTGTCATGAGGTCTGATAAGGGCACTTATACAGTGCTACACAGGAGCCTGTTTCGTCTTTTCGGACTCCTTGGTACTCATACTGGAGAGAAAAAAAGAATAGAAGAATGTAGCTCTCGCCATTAATCGAACCCTATGAGATGTGCTATGCATGCGACATCATCAAGCATTGTTTGAGATGTTTGCTTGCTTATCCTGGCCTTTACAATGACTTAAGGTGGCCTGCCGATGAACCAAGTCAGTGTACTTATTCTCCTAGACGTGCATGATACCAATTCACCAACCACAAAGGAATAGAAAGCTTGGTGATCTGTAAGCGCGAAATGGAACCATGACAATCGCTTGACTGACCACGTGTATATTGCAATCACCTCTGACCGCTGTGTTAAACGCGGTCAGTGAAAACTAAGAGAAAAAAGGTTATAAAAAGGTCTGAAGATGTTTCTTTCCACAGTTCCCCAAGTAGTGGCAACCAGAAAACTAACCTCAGATGGAATGCCATGTCTATATGTCGACATTTGGATACTCGATATTGCTCTGAGTCGTGACGTTAGTCCATAACATGGTCACCTAAGAGATAATATGGACAAAAGATGGAAAACTTCATTTCCTGAAAAATGGGATAGAAACCCAAAAGAGAGGGGTAGGGAGAGGAAGGGAGAGAGGAAGAGAGAGAGGAAGAGAGAGGAAGAGAGATAAAAGAGGGAAAGAAAGAGACGTAAGATTAGTTTGTCCTTCGAGTAACTAACCACATAAGAGGGGCCGTGTCGCCTATTCCATAAACAGTTGCGGGCCAGTATTCCTTCACGCGCCACTTACAGCACACGACGTCCCCAACAAGCATTATTTTACAATCCACAGTGTTCGCTTGCTGAAAACATGGAATATTCAAAGCCTTGATTTAACAAGAAATTAGAAGTGGACTGCTGGAGAAACTGTTAGTAAGTGTTAGCTCTGACTGCTTTCACCTGCTTCTTCAACATATGAAAGATTATATCCCCAGCGATACAATCCACCTCACTCAGCAACTTTAACTTTAGTGCTTTTCTATGAAGATACAGTTGTATCTTCAGCAAAACCAACCACTAAAACATAATAGTGATATATTTTCATTGATTTTCCGTGACAGTTCAGCCTCAAAGTTGGGAAAGTAAATGTTAGGTAAATCACTATCAAAATAACTTACTGATTTCGTTACTAAGAACAACAACAGCAGATAAAAGAAACCTTAGCGGGAAAGTGATCAGATCTTCCGCGCGTCCACTTAGTTTCGCTACTGTTTCCCATCTCAAACGACTACTTGAACATTTGTTGGAGCACGAGATGATTAACAAATGAACTGTGACAGTTTGCAGTCTTTTAGTTTGTTCATAAATGGCCTGTACGTAGTTTCACATAGAAGTCCCATCATAACTTGATCTCGAAGACGTCGATGGTAATTGAGTATCGATGATTTCATAGTAGAGTCTTTATTAAGTCAGTCCCTAAGTTTCGACTCCAGAGCAATAAACACCAATTTATTGAGCAGAAGTAATCAAAACTTCATGATTCTAGTATAATTCAAATGCGCATTTTGTTGCGAACATCTCGGTACACGGAGGAGCCGTGGCCGAGTGGTTAAGATGCTCGTCGCGACGCGCGTGGAGCCGAGCTCCACTCCCAACACTCTCCTGCAGTGAACAAGAAGTTCTATGGAACACCGCAACTAGGCTATCCTCGAAATTGCGAGGAGACATGCTCGATCATTATCCCCCTTCATTTGAGGAGAAAGCGAAAAATGAATAGAATGTCAGAAGTACCGGCACGTACAAAAAATATGACGACGGATCGAAAAATAAATAATAAATAATTTTGGTACACAGCTTGCCTATATTTGCTTTCAGGTGGAACTGTCTTGGAAATAACACGCTTGCTACACATGCACGAATGGCGCAATAGAAAAAATGTTAGTGAAGCGGCACGTAGGATTAGTTGAGCTTGAGGCAATGACACGGTTACAGAAAGGACGGCTAAGAATCGGTTCGCGAAGTTCAAACTTAGGAAAACAGTCAGGAGGACCAGTCGCGCTGGAGCCGTCCACAGGAGGTTTCATTATTTTGCGCGCTGTTTTCAGTAGCATTTTTCCGTACGCGACATTCGTACATGAGTAAGAAGTAAGCGATTATTCCCAAGACAGCTCAATTTCAGAGCAAATATGTAAATTATATATAAAATGTCTGCAAAAAAACACGCAACTGGATGCCAAAATCATGCAATTTTAATTACTTCTGATTGATAAATTCGGTGTTTTTTACTCTGATGCCAGAACCTATGGAACAACCTCATGTTTACTACGACGTAGGAATATTTTTGCATGGAACCAAAAGTAATAGCGTAAAAGTTGAAAGGCCACCACAAGCAAGATGATTTATAAAATGTGAAAAAAAAACGAAAAAAGATTGGTTCAATGTATTTTGGGGTAATTTCCACAATAAACTATACGATCAACAATTTTCACAAATGGCTCAGCTTTTCTGAAAAAAAAACTTCCGCTTGTGACCAAAGGCCTTGCTTGTGACTCAGGATCCTTGAATCCTTCAACAATTAGGATATTCAATATCTGTGAAGACATTGAACCAATCCTATTCATGCCTATGATAGACAACTAAAAAAATCAGACTTCAATACTCCCTCAGAAGATATGCACTATCGCAAATTATATGAAAGGCTGTAATTATTTGACCTAGAGCAAGGGACTCATCTACAATGAAAAACATCGGATTGTTGAAAAAATAGACTAACCTGTAGCTCAATGAACTTTTCGATGACGATCCAGCAGCGTTCTCTTGCGACTGCAGGGACATTTCCGACTCCGATCTCCTACTTTCCTCACTAGTCATGCCATTTTCTTGCATCAGACAGTCATTATCCTCTCCTATTTCTACATTGCAGTGTCTATTCCAACACAACACTTTGTCTTGCTGTACTATTACACGCGAAGATGAGCCATTCGTTTTGGGACTGGCGCCGCAGCAATGCTCATCTTCTTCATGACGCAAAGTTTTCTAAGATTTAAGTCGCTGTAATGGCAGACTTGTCCGCCTCCAACCGTCTTCGCAGTATGATTGTAATTAGGTGGGTGATTAACTGTGGGACTGGCTCCCTTGCCTCCGGTGGAACGTACCACCTTTTGGTGTGCTCGCCGATGGAGTCTATATATCCAGTCACAACATTAAGACTCAACAAAATGTGTATGGCCAATATCCATTACATGCGACAATGAACTCAGTTTCCGTGATAATGTTTCCATGAATAATATTCAATGCACGATGACGATGAGAGAGACTCAATATTTGTGAGCGATATCCAATGCACGACGACGATAAGGGACTCAATGATGTCCATAAGGAATGGGCATATATGGTAAGATTGTTAGAGGAGACAATGACGCACGACCGCTCACGAGGGATGACGGGTGACGAATATAGCACATTCGAACTTAGTGGCCGCCTTGACGATGTGGCAGCGCTGACGCAGCCGCAACGCTTGTGCGTCCTGCCACGAGACGCGGCTCCCGCCAACCTTTCCATTTCGTCCGCGAGATCTGCAACAATTAGCATGTACACATTCTCAGGACTCGAAACGAAAGAAAATGTTAACGAGTCAGCTGGAAGGATTCATTTATTTACGAAGATTTTCTTGAAATTGATTACTGAGTGAGTGGTGCTCAGGGAGCCTTCATTCTCACTCAGATTTATTGTCACGAATTCTGTTGATCTACATTTATTTTTACTGCCCGCTTGTGATCAATCACCGGAATCTTTGACGACAACTTCTTGTAACGACATTTTTTTTTTGTAGAAAACTTTCCCCAAGTATACACAATATGTGGAGTGCTGTGCAAAAACCTTTGCGTCAGGCGGGATTCCAACCCAGATCGACGGTTGGCTGCGGCAGACAACGCGTTATAGCCTAAATAAGAGTGCTGTGCAGAACGAGCTCGGTAGTGCAACGGTTAGCATACGCTCCCGGAAAGAGTGAGATCTGGGTTCGAATTCCGGCTGACGCAAACGTTTTTGCTCAGCACTCCATATATTGGGCATACTATAACATCATAGCACTGCAAGTGGCAGTCAAAGTAGAAAGAATTATTTCCCCAAGTAGTTGTACTAAACATTCAGTTTCTGTCAATAGCTGCACGAATTTCTGCGCTACAGTTGACGATAGTCACTTTTTTGCTGCACATATTCGAGTCAAAATTGGCCAGATGAGGTTGTGAGATTGCGTATAATAGAGCAAAAGAGGTAATTTCCTGAATGATGTTAGAAAATCCCTAGATTGGAGCTTGAATAGAATATTTTGGTGTTATAGGTGAAACAGCGAGAAACAGCGTTCATTGGTAGGCGGGAACACAAAATCTGTCGAGGACTGAGGGTGATTTATTGCCAGTTGACTATTACTAATTCGACGGAATTCCGAGGCTTGTCTAGTCGACAGTTTTGTTATCAATGTCACTACGAGAGGTGGCCGGCTGCCTGTAAATCGAGATGTGATTTGTGGCCTTGTGGCTATTTTGATACAAAGGTGATTTGTGATATCGGTTCATTATTGAGAAACTTTCGGCTGCAATTGTCAAATTTATTGCTATGTTAGAGACCTCGTTGTGCAATTAGCTGTCCTCTGCACTTCAAATTCGGCATTCATGAGAAGTTTCAAACCATCAGCATGCATAAATTTCTCTAAAAAATGCATTTCATGAACAGAATTAGACAGTATTGAATAAAGTGTCGAATTTTTTTCGAACTCGAGGGTATAGTCAAACAGTGAGACAATGTTTCAATCACTTTTTCACAGGCCCTACAAGCGCTCCGATGGATCGAACAAGAACCTGTGGCGGTTCTACAGGTGGTGAAGCGGTATTACTTTCTGCTGGTGGCTCTTTGATCGGAATAGGAGGAAACGTGGGTGGTTCAATTCGCAATCCGAGTCATTTCAAGGATTGGCAGGATTTAAGGTTCGCTCACAGAACACTGCTTTTTTAGATTATATTGAATAGTACCAACTTTTAGTTAGGCGCAATAGTATATTAACCACGAAATTTATTCGACTGCGTTCCTAAAGATATTTCGAGTCTCCTTGAATGCTAAAGCAATTACTTTCGTAGGAAAAATATGAAGAATGCAATTTATGATCTTCAAAGATTCCTGAATAATTCCGTTCAATTCCATGCCTAAATTAGGCTAATGAATACATGGATATGCCAATATTTGGGAAGTAAAGTCTGTAGGTTGCGAAATTCATTTCATTGAGGATAGCAGTTTAACTAATATTATAATAATAGTTTAATATTCGTTTTTCAAACAGTGAATGACCATTTTCAGCCTTCGCATCACCAAATTTCTCATTCCGGTGTAGATGCTATTGCACCAGGTCGGCCAGCAATTAACGATTGTGAAGGGCCGATGGCTGATGATGTACGCACCGTGGTTGATTTTTTGAAAGAGGTATTGTCGTTCCCTATAGCTCTAGCATAGAATCAATTCCAAACTTTTTCCTTCCTGTATTTACTTGAAGCAAGTTAGTAGGGTATAACTGTAGTGAATGAGTAGCGATAGATAAGGCAGTAGGATGTTTCATGTATTTGACATCAGAACGTGGTTTAGAAGTATGACCTCACGCTTTTTTGCAGTGGTCGGTGGTTACAATAAGTACAAATGAGTAGATAAAGGGGTTTATATTCAGCTAACAATGCCAGATCTATCACCATAATTCTTCTTTCTAACTGTCTTACCTTGAACCTAAGTTGAGCCGACTAGCCTAATATTATTCGTAGGCTTTCTTAGTGATGTAATCTGAAAAAGGCACGATATCGAATGAGATACTTGGCAAACAAAATCAGCGTGAAAGCCAGCTGGTGTAAAAAAATGCTTTAGTCATTCGTTCACTGATGTTGTACAAAAATCTAAAACCCCATTAAAGATGCAGACAATGTAGGTCAAACGACTACTATCGTTCACTATTTATAGCGTCCAGGCAAGCAAAGAAAAAGCCAAAAAATTGAAAAGCTTGAAACAACAGATGACTAAAGAGCATGGAGGTTTTGACGGAGTATAATGATTGTCTTCTCTTCTTTAAGGTGTGGAGTAATAAATGGGCCAGCGAACGCGATCCTTATGTGTTGCCATTGCTATGGAATGACGAAATGTTCCAAAAAGGTTGCAAATACCGCGTCGGTTACTATGTCGATGAAGGATGGTTTACAACCCGTCCCAGCAATTCAGGTAGTGAAGAATTCTTCATTCCATCTTTACTGATCTTTTTATCTCATACAAAGAACTAAGAAAATAATAAAAAATAGCAGCAGGGTTTAACGTCACAGGGAAAATTCTGAGAAGCATCATTTTGAATAAAGTGAAATATAATACGTTTGTAGAATTAATCGTTTAAAGGTGTACTATGCATTTGTCTTTATTGAGACATAGGCTCTAAAATGGTGATTTGCACTCACATTAGTGGTGGAGAGGACAAATGAGAGTGTTGGAGTTGGTGTCATTAACCGTAACTACAATTTGATACGCCATGTGGAGTTGCGACTTTTGCTCATCAATCATCCTCGTGATTTTAGTTTCAAAAATACTTGAATAAGGTGCTGCGTGGATTACCCCGGAGACGATAGAAAAATTTCTGTTTTACAAGTCTGTCGTCAAGTTCTCATCCCTCGACTACTTTATGCATGCAAATTTCTCGAGAGTTGCGTAGGAAGATCCAGCATCATTCATGGTGTGTTGAGCATTACAAAATTAGTTTTCACCCAGATTCAATATTGTCTGTATTCCCAATTATTATACGACATCTACGGAAATAGTGAATATAAAAATGATTAGATTACAGTGTATAATTGTCAAGAAACCAACAAAATACCAAATGCTAGCAGCACCGTAACTGCCGTGTGCGAATCGAAGCAAAAAAGTACAACAAAATGATTCACGTCATGCAAAGTTGGGCGACAGGATTAGTATCAACTCATATTACTGCTATGAAAATCTAGGTTATGAGAGAATGCACTGACCGCACAGACGTCGAGTTTTAAGGCTCGCTAACGTAGAGGTGACTGAATACAAAGTTGGCCTATACGATGAATTATGGAGACCTATTGCTGTATAACTTCAAAAGTTCGACTTTCTAAAACCTCAGCATAATCACTTGATATATGAAAATCAAGAAAACTTGTCTTGATTAGCTGACGCGAGGTTGATAAATTAGTCACAGTGATTCGGCTAATGTTTCGGCGACCCGGCTTCTTCAGAGCCTGAGCGTATGTAATAATAGTCTATTTGAATTATTCGGAGGATCTTATTTGTATGTTGCCTAGGTCAGGTTGAAAGATTAAACGAAGAAAGGGCGCGAGTCTCATGTGATGGTTACGCTTTCATCCTTCCGATTCATTTAGGGGTTTTTGGCGTTTATTCAAAATGCCTCAAGAGTTTTGCGCATGGATGTTTTTGATCCCTGCGGCATTTTGGATAAACGTCAAAAACCCCGAAATGAACCGGAAGGATGAATGTGTCACCATCACACGAGATCTCGCGCCCTTTCTTCGTTTGATCTTTTGACCTGACCTAGGCAGCATATAGATTAGATCCTTCAAATCATTCAGATAGACTAATACGTTTATAGACTACATACGCCCAGGCTCTGAAGAGGGCGGGCCGCCGAAACGTCAGCCGAATTACTACGACTATTTAACCAACCTCGCGTCAGCTCATCAAGATAAGTTTTCGCGATATTGCTGTATAGACTGGCGATTTTCATTCCTAGATTGTTTAACATCGGTCTGGAGAAGTATTGCTGTTTATTTACTAGCCTACATGAGATTACTTCATTGTGACTGACCCTTCGATGTCAGCCCCTTTCAAAGAAGTGGGATAATCACAGTTGAGTGTCTGAAGCGATTGTTTCTTTTTATGTGACTCTTCAAAGACATTCAGTCATAGATCTGGCCATGCATTTTCGTGAGAAACACCTGAAGTATTAATCATTTTTGCGCAACTTCCAGTCACGAAAAAAAAGAACAAAGGATAAAACTCTCAGAATCGGTGCTGCCAGTCCCCAGGCAAGTGTGGTGCCGATTTGACAACCTCACAGGAGTGGATGGCTTAAAGGACGTGAGACTCTGAATCAAATCAACGACCACGTTTGTACTGTAAGGCACTTTTCACCACTCCAAGCAAATGCAACCCTGATTGAAGTTACGAGTGTTCAAGTAACAGATTGTTTTAGTATGATCGATCCATTTTCAGTGTAAAAAAGCGAAACTTGCCGAAATATAGCTGCCATGGAATAATTATTATATTGCCAACATCGTTTGTGCTTGTGAAGAAAACATTAAGTATTTTGATCGTTTTTTTCCTTACAAGCAGATCCGAGGTTGGTAGTAGAAGTAATTTTTATTTATGATTTATTCCAACTAAGCCGAAATCATTAACAGTCAATCCTAAAGTTTTAGATGTTGATCGTCGAGTGACTCGAGCAGGCACCAGCAACACTTCCATTTTTCCCCATCGCGTGCAAGAGTAGCCCTGTGGGTGCTGTTTGCTCTGGGAATTCCTTGAGTATTATATTCTTCTTCTAATTTTTCGTTTAGAAGTCGGATCAACGGGTTTTGGTCTTCCTGTTGAGCGCTTGATATCCCTAGAAATCCAGTCGGTAAAGGCTTTCGTCCATCGGTTGTTAAGGAGCAACACGTGTCCGGCCCTTATTTTCAATATTTTGGCGTGCAGAATGACGCCTTTGATCTTCAGTCACTAACGTAGGTTGGATTTTCGAATACTTTCTCTCATTTGCAAGATACGGGATACTCGTGACATCGACCTCTCGACTGCGCTTTTAATAACGTCAGGTGATCTTATACGATGGATAGTGTTGCAGTATATCAGGAAGCGACGTTTAAAGCGTAGCGCTGATTTGATCCTTCTCCTTATAATTTCTGTCAATCAACTGAACGCCTCAGCTCGGCTACCCCTGAGATTCCAAGAAAAATCGTCCGGATCACCATTCAATAACCTGCAT